CCTTTCTGCTTGATGTGCAATTTAGAATGCACGTCGATCATCCACTCATGGAAGTGGATTCGCTTCTTGTCCTTTATGTTGATTTTGTCATAGAAGAGGTTCATCATAAAGGTCTTGCCCGTACCAGTACCTCCCCACAAGTAGAGCCCTCTCTGCCCTGGCGCGGGCTTTAGTGCCAGTGCTGCCTGCTGTGCAGGTGCGGGCGCTGGCGGCGCTTTGGGCTTGCTTCCAAAGAGGCCTCCAAAGAAACCACCGCCGGCAGAGCTGGTAGAGGTTGGCGTTGCGGGTTTGGCAGCCTTTGTCATTCTGGGCGAGTAGCTGGTGAGGTCCTTGGCAAGGTCATCCAACATCTGCATGCACACCTCCTGGCGAGGATCTTCCTGGATCTCACCTGAAGCCTTCTTTTCCAAGTATGCCTCCAGGCATCCTCCAGGCATAGCTGAGCTCCAACGCATCTGCATGGGCGCAGCTGCAAAAGGAAATTTTTGCAACCTCTGGAATTGGAGGCTGCAACCTGGCTGCCAAGTCCGAGACGGAAATGGCACGTTGAAGAGACATCCAGCACCTCTCGCGCTGGTGCGCGAAAGTGCGCAAGTTGACGCTGGCAATGCACGGAACATGGCGTCACGCCACACGCCAGCTTGTTAAAAAAAAATCCTGAGCCGGAGAAGCATTTGTTGGCTGTGAGCTGGAAAAGCATCATGCTGGACAGATGCCAGTTTGCAGTCCTAGACATGAGCACCGAAAGCATATTTGGGAGCTCTGACCGTTCTATCCATGCCTGGTTGCAAGGTCTTAGGCGAGTTGACGCTGCAAGAGGCTTCCCCGAGAACGGCTCTTTGATGCTCTTTTGCTTCCGCTGCAGTTCCTGAAACGATCATCGCTCGGTACGCGGAGGAGTAGCCTGGCCGATGCTAGAGCCGACAAGACAAGAACTTCGCGGCACAGCACCGCAGCACCCGTTTGCGCTTTTCATGTGCGTGCCATACGCTCAACGGCGACTGCATCTGCAAAGGCTTGAGAGCCCGGCGAAGGGCCAAGCTCTGCATGTGCCTTGGCAGCTCTGTTCCTACCAGCAGATCTTACTACCCATAGTTTCGGTCTTGCTGAATGTCTGTGGGGTTTCACATGATGGAAGGTTGTGCTGGATCATTCGTCTTGCTCCTGAAGCTAGTGCAGCTCTGGTGCGCAGCGATGAAGTCTTGACCGTTGTCATAGGTGGTGGCCTGGAGACGCGTTAAGCAACACGACTGATAGCCGAAAGGTGGGAAGGCCATGCCTCCTGCGCTTGCAGCCACTCCTCAGAGAGCAGCTTCTGCCTGTGGCAAATGCTTGAGTCACAAGCTGGTGGCTTGAAGTGACAGATAGTGACATAGGGTTGCAAAGGACAGGCGCCGCCACGACCACATATTATGGCGCGGCATACTCTGGGTCATGCCTTCTATCATGCTGAATAATTCCCGATACGAGAAAACTGGCCAACCATACATCACTGCGAGTTGTTACGCAGAATGGGGTTGATGGCTGAGGAGATTCTGCCGACCAGGCGAACTCTTTGGACAAAGTTTCCTCCCAAAAGTCATAGCCCCAAGCTTGTAGTTGACTTAGCATACACGCGGAAACGGCCACTGGGTCCACTGCGCCGATGGCGCCCGGCGCTCAAAGTCTGACCCCTGCCAATTGGCACCCCAGAAACCTGAAGAAGGCAGCATCGCACTGACAAGCTCCACACTTGTGTACGTACAGTAGCTTGTAAGAGGCTATGTGAAATGGCTTCTTAGTTTGCCACGCTCTTTGCTTGAGCTGTTAGCCGGACTCATCTGCGCAAAGAGACAAGACCGAACAGAAAAAATGCTGTTTTTGGGGCAATGCTTTGCAAAACACAGATGAGGTTTGCAGCGCTGTGATGCACAGGTAGCAGGCTGAGCCCAGGACCAGCATGGGAGTGAAACAGCAGACTCTCCCTGCACGGCTTTCGCTCATAAGCAGCAGGTGGCTGCGACATCTTTGGTGCTGAGGAAAGGGCAAGGGGCCTCGGCCTAGAACGCAAAGAAAACTCATTTCCAACCACGGTGCAAAGACACGGCAGCTTTGAAGTCTTCCATCAAACTAAGCTCGGGGCAGGCGCTCGCATGAAGTACAGCCTCATTGGAAGCGCATCTGAGCAGTGCTACCTTTCCGGGTGATTACTGCGTGCCAGAGTTGCAATGTGAATTCTTGGAGAGGATTTTAATTTTGTTTTGCAGAAAGAATCAAAAGATGCGAGGTGATTGAATACCAATTGCTCCAGCATGATCTGGCGTAGTTTGCCGTATGACACCTGTAGTCGTGAAGTTTGCAGCGGAGAAATTGAGCCCCATTTTCTAGCTTGAAAAGCCTTCGTCGTGAAATCCGCAGCACGCACCTGGAGGACCTGTCTATGTTGAATCCTAGATGAAACTCATGGTGGAGCATGTGGAGCGCTCTCGGAAAGATCCAACGATCCTCTGATGGCACTCTCAAACAACATGCCCCATAATCCAGGAACAAAAAATCACATTGCAGCGCAAACACCATCGGAAGCAGCATATCCAAATCTGAAAATGCAGAGTTTCGACAGCTTCTATCTGCGTATTTGTCGGAAATACATGGCGGAATGTGGCTTTGTGGCGTGAGGCACCGGGCAAATGCAAAGACGTGAGGCGCACGCTTCTGCATTTTTAATGCGTTGTTTGGCTGCCATGTTCTCGATCCACAGGTGAAGACAGTGTCACAACAAATGCTTTTTTTGCATGGGCTTCTGCTGAGGTGGTTGTAATGCAAATGTAAACGATCCTCAAGCTGCATGGAGTCCATCCAATTCTTGGGATAGCCAAGATTACACATGAGATGTCATCAAGCTTGGCAGCAACAGCCCATACACAAAGTGGCTCTGGTACCTTTGCATCGATGCGTGGTCTTTCCTCTTCATCACTCAATCCAATGGCGGCTCTTTGCAGTAGCAGGAAACAGCGCATCGGACAATTCTTTCAGGCTCTAACCACCGGTAGGTTTACCCTGAACCTTCAACCCTCTACCCTACACGCCAAATAACGAAGAAGTTTCCTGGTTTTTGGTATTCCGTCCTTCTTCATTCCCTAACCACCTTAAGTCAATAAAGCTCTCCCGACATACTTCCCATGTAGAGCCCTAATGTAGTACTTACGTTCACTCTCCCACCTCTCTTAAGCACCGAACTGCAGGAACGCCATGAGCTACAGTCAATATTTCCCATGGAATCTATGGAAAAAAAACAGGGACAATGAAATGGAAGCTGGGATTACTATATGGGGAGTTATGAGGAATAATTTCCATAGAGTTCATGGACGTGGGTTTCTATTGGGGAATACATTAATGTCACCGACTGTGCTAAACTACCAAAGGAACCTCATGTCCACCCCTAATTGTTTCTTGGTAACCAAAACCCTGAGCCCTAAATTCCAAATAGCGCATTTTCCATTTCCTTTTCCATTACTCCTACATATAATCCTACAAACCTTAAACCCTAAACTCTAAATCCCTAAACCCTAAAGCCTGCTATTGACAGTAGCTTACTCAAATGAAAGCTCTGTGCCTCGCCCGGCGCGCGCAGCGCTTCTGGCCGTCCGTCAGTCAAGTAAAGCTCCTCTTTGGAGAGTGCTGAAGGGGATACATGGGGGCTTTAAAGAGACTATGGGGGTAGGGTTTCTGGGCTTTAGGGTTTAGGGTAGCCCCGGCCATAAACCCTAAACCTTAGGAATATGAGGGATCATTTTTGAGCAAACGGCTCTTGGAACCTTGAGAGAAATTTCTGGGTGCCTCCAAGTGCATGCACACACCCAGCGCGGCCATGAGCCAGCCTGCAAGCGAAGGCCCTAAACTCTAAACCCTAAATCATGGTATATTATGGTATGTTATGGTATGCTACGGTATGTTATGGTATGCTATGGTGATAGTTACTCCTTCTTGGGCAAGTCAAGTGCCGACCTCTGCTGCGCAACAGGGCTCCGTAGCGGAGCCAGGACTTGAAGCCTTCCTCGCTTGCTGCTGCCTTCTCAGGGACTATGCAAGGACCATGCATCATTCCATCCTACCGGGGCAGCACCTCAAGCCATCCTGAGGTATGCAGTAAAGATCCACCAGCTAATACCCCTGGTCCAAACGCGATAATTGTCGCGCAGTAGAGCAGCTTACTGGATTCACTGGATGTTGAAGATATACTGTTCTAATGACCAGGAGATACCAGGAGGTTAAGGGCTTATGGTCGACAACTTAAGCAAAGACCAAAAACCCGGCCTGCCTCCCAAGCCCCAGCACCCCAAAGCCCTATTACGGCCCTGAACCTGAAGCTCTAAAACTCTGCTGTCCACCAAAGATCAGCAAACCCCCTGTAATTGCAAGCGCCCGATTCCCAGAACCTCGGAATCTGTGGCAGACCTTGCGCTGCAGAAATGATCTTCATCTTTTCTACTGGGGGACTTACAGGCATCAATGTCTACTGATCCTCGGTCTCACATGAGCTCAGGGCGTCGCCGTGGTACACATGAGGTGTATATGAAAGCCCAACAAATCCTCAAGCAAGCGTCCAAACCCCCAATGCCGCTTGAATAGTATGCCTCTGGGGATTTGCAGCGCTTCTGCGCATGGCGCATCTTGTGGCCCCAGAGCGCTGCCTGGAGGGGCATGGTAGCTCCCAAAACATGTCCGTGGGTGGCAGAAATCTTGCATAATAGGCAATACAGTACATTTCTCCTTAAGTTGTGCAAAATTCCATCTAGGTCTTTTTCGAGCCCCGCCAACTCTTTTGTGTCCAGCTTGTTGCGTGAGGTAAGGACTGGGGTTAGGGGTTTTTGGGGCAAGGGATTAGGTTTGACTGGCGACATCTTCCCGGTTTGGGTATACCTTGTTGGTTCCCTCAATGCTCCTCAGGCTTGCGAACCGCAGTGTTTTTTTGATAGGAAATTCGTGGCACGTCTCTTCGAAACTGTTCTGTGCTTCTGAATCATGCTTTCTGAAGTCTCGATTTGAAGCTGAACATCTCCTGACATGCTTGCACGCCACATTTTAATAGTACGCCCAATTGTCGGCTGATAGGCGGAACCGGCATCCATCCTATGCCTCTATTGAAGCCGTCATCTCGTTAGCTGCTGTTGTCAGGGAATACGAATGCTTTCTGCTTGGGGCTGATGTTGTTTTGGTCCGTTGGTGCTCATCGGGCTAGTGTGCTCATGGCATCAGTACTGCCATTGCCCCTGCGGCTGTTGTTCTTGCTCTTGATTATTCTTGTTGTTCTTCTGCTTTGTATAGTTGCGTTTGTATTTTCACTCTGTAAGCGTGATGCCACCCCGCATGATATCCCAGTTGATGCTTGAATCAAAGAACAAGCTGTAGTTTCAATCTGCGATCGTAATGATGCCAACACGCTCTTTGATTTCCCTGACAGACATGCGCACCAGTCGGCCTCTCTGCTGTTTGCTGTTGCCTGCCTGCAGGGCTGCGAATGGCCACGTGAAACATCATTCTTGCCTTCCTCACAGCCAGTTTTGCAAAACCTGGCTTGCGCCTCGTAGCATTGGCCCCACCGAGCGCGCGTTCCAGCAGGTCTCCGCTTGCAGGCATGTGATCGCCTGCATGGCTTGGTCTAAAGCAGCTTTGGAAACGGCCGTGGAACCATCACTGAAACTGTCCCGCTGCAACCAACCAACATGCTCTCTGTCAGACCCTGCATGGCCAAGAGAACAACAGGAAACTGCCTGCTTCGCCCAAGGTCTGCGACAGCATGCGCTTCAGGCCTGACGTCACAACAGTTCGTGTCATAAAATCCCAGATGCCAAAGCTGGCATTTTCATCTTTCAGAGCAGCTGCTGCGTGGACACTAGCACACCTAGTAGGCAGTTGTGCGTGTTGTTCAGGATCATCGCCTCTCCAGCTGCTAGCAAGCGTCAGCAGGTGATATATAGCGTGATAACCGTGCATGCAGGCAGTCACCAAAAATGCCTGTCTGACCAGCGCCATGGCCTCTCTGGGCCTTGAGTGCCGATTCGGCTGACATGTTGTCCAAATAGCAGCAACCACTGTATTGCATAAGTCCAGGGCATCTTTAAGGATGGGTGTGCGAGCACCTTATCTCAGCAGCATCCAGAAAGATATTTTGGCGGATACTCCAGTTCTGGATATTCACTGCATGCTCGTTTGCACTTGCTTTCTTATCTCCAATGCTTGTTGTTGCATGCCTGTACACTAAGTCACTAAGTCTGCGGCAATACCAAGACGGATCCAGTGCCTGAATTCCAGTGCACTTCTGAACTTTTAGCAGCAGCTTGGTCAACTACCATGCCACCGAGGTACAACTGCGGCACACACTTACTGCACGGTTCAGGAAAACAACTGCGAAGTTCAAGAGTGCTCGGCAGCATCTAGGGCTGCGCTCAACGACCAGGACGACCCAACCACGGCCTTCCCTCGCTCAGCTTGCGCCAGGACATTTAAAGCTTTCAGTATCGCTCACAAAGCCAGACCCTTCGCATTCAAGTATCCGCCCTCTCTCCGCAAATACGCCGCAAGACTAACCGAAGTCATGTCTAATTACTTGTGAACTAGCGCTGACCAACGCTGTCACAGCTGACCCAAAGCTCTCAGAGCGAGGCTCCAAAAACAAAGGCGCAGCGCGCACCGCCACGCGTGCAACAACAGCAGCCTTGGCGGCCCCAGGCTGCAGGGTGGAAGTTGGGAAGTACAAAAACCTATCTCCAACAGATCTCTTCTACACAACGGTTCATGATATTTAGGGCTCGCATTGCTCTGAGAGCCTTGCATCTCTGTAGAATTCATGCCTGCCCAGGACGTGCTCTGTCAGTGGCTACGGCAACATCTGACGTGTTGCGTGTGCCAGCGCTTGACAAACGAAATTATCCTGCAGGCGCGCCACGCAGCCTCTTGAGCAGTTGCAAAGCCCCTCATGAGATTCTTGGCCCTTTTCTCCAGCACGAACTCATCTCATCTAAAGCCCTTGCCCTTGCCCGCCCGCACCAGTGATCTCAGATAGCCCATGAAGAGGCCTCGCATGAAGCTGGCTTTGCAAAGCAAGCAACTGCAGAGCGACCCCACATGATCAAAATGTCATACGGCTTGTCCCCGCGGAGCAAGAACCTCCTACAAGCTTACATCTGAATCTGCTTCCAAGCTAGGGGCCGCTGGGATTGGCCGTACCTGCGTGCCACAGCCAACTGAAGCACGCCACTTCCCCTTGGAAAGCTGCACCCATCCTGCCTTCTCTCGGTTGGAAGTTTGTGAGCACCAAGCGCTGGGTCTCCGGATCCTGACCCCATGCTTGCCCCTAAGCAGGAAAACTTCCCCTCTTGAATAGTCTGCACCAAATTGACAGGTTGGAGATGTTCAACCCTAACCCTAGTTTCGTGCCGCTGACACTAAAACACCATGGCCCTAATGTACTAGTGGAATATTTGTAGAGGCGGTCGTTTTAGGGCTGAGGGGTTTGGGGGGCGGCGCATTGTACCACTTTGGATATCTTTCGCAAAAGCCGCCTGTGCCTGGAGCTGGTCCATGCATTCCTGCCAAACACATGTTAGCATGGACATGTGTACCACACTTTTATATAAATATGCAGCAGATGCACAAACGTGACATGTGTGTATGTCATCATATTCTTATTTATCATTAGAGTATGCATCCGTCATGTGTACAGACTCAGGTACCATAGTATCATCACAATATACATGCACACACGCCGAGTCCACACCTTATAGACAAACAGTTTTGTACGCATCCTAAAGCATCCTCTCTGACATGCGTCTATTGAGTGTAAGGTCCTTAAAGCCTGCACATGACCTCAATATCATCGTAGGCAACCCCCGTCTTACCCTATGTATAACCCTTTTGTAAGCCTAATATGCCTGACATAATCCCCAACTAAGCCCATTACCCTATATAGCCCTCAGATCCCCGTTGGCGTGCTGGCGGCCTGGTCTAGATTCCAAGCCAAAACAAAGTCCAAGAGCTCCTCAACCCACAGGAGCCAGGTGCAGTCATGCGTTGTAAAGGAATCATATAAGGATGGTACAAGAATGGTATAGGATTCTACAGGATTTATAAGGATACCATAGGGGTTATATCCAGATACCATATCGTGGAGAAATATACAGGTTTAGAGAAATCATCGCCTATCAAATGGAAAAGAACATGGAACATGAGATGGGAACTAGTACATGAAACATGAATTGGGAACTACTATTTGGGGTTTGTCCCCAGAAAGGCGGTTCTCAAAATGATGGGTCAATGCTTACTGTCTTTATACGAAAAAAATAGAGTGGCCGTAGCACGCACAGGAGGCCATAATTTTGATAAATTACACCTAAACCCTAAGCCCTAAATTCTAAACCCTAAACCCTAAGCCCTAAATTCTAAACCCTAAACCCTAAATCCTCAACCCTAAATCCTAAACCCTAAACCCTAAATGTTGGCTTCAAAGTGCAGTCTCCTCCTCGGACACTGCAGCCACAACTGCCCTTTGTGCACCGCCGATGGCTTGTCCTGGCAAAGCTCCAAGGATGCCCCAAGTAGCACCCCAGTTTAACCAGAAAAGGGGTTTAGGGTTTAGGGTTTAGGGGGGCTATATAGGGGTTATATAAGGATTATAAGGACTATATTGAGGTTATATTGGGATAATGGAAAAGAAAATGGAAGCTACTATAGTATATAGTTTTTAGGGGTTATAGGGGGGTTATACGGGGTTATATGGGGATATATAGTACGCCAATAATGGAGAATGAAATGGAAAAGAAAATGGAACATGACATGGAAATTGAAGGTTTCTAGAGGTTGTCTTTAGTTAGCTGGCAATGAAGGAATGGAAAAGAAAATGGAAACTACTACAATGGGTTGTATAGGGCCTACAAAAAGGATCTATTCCTTCATTCCCAGCTAACCAAAGGCCAGTCTTGGACCCCGTCTGCAAGCAAAAACCAATGTGCCAAGCACAGCGCATTGCATTCCAAAAGTATCATACAACGCATGGCAGGATTCCAATCCAGTGTCCGGAAAGCCATTGCCCTATGTCAGTGTCACCTAAACATTCAACAATCCTTCCAGCGTCTAAGAACCCTGCAACCCCTGCCCATGAGCTTCTAAAAAGGGCCTGGTCCGGTTTCCTGAGAAATAGTCTGATGCAAGTCCCGCAAAGAGCACTGTGCTGAAAGCTGCCAGGCCTTGAGTCAATCCTAATGTTATCTTCCCAAAAGGCTCCCCAAATTCATGCCCAACTGCATTATCATATCTCTTGAGAACCATAACCCAAAGAAGATCCATAATCCCAAGAAGATGCAAGACCCTTTTCGAGGACCCTACGTGTTGACAGGACCCTTTCACATTCCTCATATAAAATAGACCCCTACAATAAGATGCCAGGCTGGGGCGTGAGATAACCTTATGAGACCCTGGACTCTAACCCTGAGATCCCCCCAAATGACCTAGGCACTAACATAATTATCAACCGTCCCTAGATTACTAAATTACTTATCCGGCTTCTTACTAGTACTGGTGGTTAGTGGGAATAAAGGAATTTCTTACATAGTTCTGGAGGGATTATCTTCCCTATTCCCCTAGTAACCACCAGTAAAGCTTTGCCAAGATTGGATTCCTGTCCTTGGAACGGCATGGGCCGCCTCCCGCAGGCAGACGGGGAGTTCCCAAAACCAGGAGTCCCCTCTTGTAGGGACCATACCAAGGTTTAGGGTTTGGGGTTTAGGTGTAAGAAGGATCACAGTATTTTGGGGTACTATGTATGGAACATATCCGAGGCAGTTAGGCTAGGACATGGTCCGCAAGGGCGCCGTGCTCCCTAGTTTTAAACCTCCTGGCTTGGGGATCGACATCAGTTCAAAGGGATTCTGTTAAGTTTCTGTTCAAGATTCTGCTGGAGGGAACACATGGAGCCTTGTGGAGATCGTATACAGCACAGATGGTGCTTTGAATTGTGGACCAATTTGTGGACACCTGCTAGAGACACAATGAATACTGGAAATTTTCCTCAACCTCTGAGCGTCTGGAACAACTGACCACGCCCGCGGCCCCTTCAGTCCTTCAACCTCCCAATGCGCTCAGTTTTTTTTGGCCGGGATCGCAATTTGTTGCCTTTTTGCCCCAGCCCCTGCCCCAGCCCCCCTCCGAAGCCCCCCGAGTTCCCCACCCCACCGCCCAAGCCTTGCGCTAGAGCTTACAATTAGAATTATCGTTCTGATTTTCTAGGCATGCTGTTCGCCGTGGGAGAGGTACTGTGTACATGGGTAGCTGGCAGGCTCTGCTTGGGTCAGCTAGAAGCCCTGCATCGTCTGAGATCGTAGAAATCCAACTTTGAGACTAGTGATCAGCATGAAGAGCCCCTACGACACCGGCTCCGGGGATTCACTCCAGGTCGGCGGCCTCAACACGCTGACAGTTGTAGAAAATCTGCTGAACTACCTGGAACTTGAATCCCAAATCCCTGAACTGTGATGGTTGCAGTTGCGGAGAGGTCTGACAGATGGCCGCCAGGATTGGGTGGAGCTCAAACCAACAAATCCGCATGCGAGCGCAGCCAATTAAGTTGGGTTATGTTGGATTTCCGGCAGCCGAACGCCGTATAGGCTCTTTTTAGAAGCCTTTTCTAGTGCAAGTGCTTGAAGAGCTGATAAGTTGAGAACCTGCCAAGTCAGCTCGGATTCACCAGTCCTGTAAGGCGTTGCTCGGGCTGCGAAGCCCTGCTGAGTGCTTCTCGGCATTGCACTGAAGACACCTTGCACACAAAGAGATGCTATGAACCAGCTCTTTCCTTCTTTGTTGCATGGTTAGAGCTCCCGGCTGCCCATGGAGCCGCCTTTGGAGCCGCCTTTGGGGCCACCTTTGGTGCCCATTGCACCTTTGTAGCCCAGGCCTTTGGAGCCAGCAGAGCCAGCTGCAACCTTGCCATCTTTTCCGGGTTCTGTCTATCATCGATGTCCCCATGAAATGCGACATGGTCTGAACTTGCATCATGCTTTTTTTGGGGGGGGTTCTGGCCAAGCAGCAGATCTCAAGTAAGAGATGAAGAGGCCGTGCGGGTTTTGCGTATCTTGCCGCGGCTGGAAACCGGCCATGACTGCTTGGGCCTCAGAGCCGGCTATACTGAGTAGACAACTTCATGAGGCACACAATTTGCTGACCTACACGACTACGAACAACCAGCATCAGTTGGAGATCTCATCTTGGACTCGTGTGGCGATGTGAGGTGCCGACAACCTCTGGTGGCTGCTGAAGCAGCTGCCTATCCGGGCAGGAAATTCGGAGATGGACTGGGGACTACTATAGTATATTGGGGTAAGATTGGGATAATGGAAAACAAAATGGAAACTACTATGGTACATTGGGGTTATATATTGGGGTAGAGCATTTCATCTGTGATTGCCATTTGGCACACATGCCACCCTCTTCTTTTGCGAGCTGTGCAGGTGCCACAAATCTGCGGTGTAACAGCTGCTAAAAATACTAACAGTTTCAATTTTCCACTACCCCAATATAATGTACTATAGTAGTTTCCATCTTATCCTCCATTATCCCCATATTACCATTGTCCCTATATAACTTTCGAAATACTATTGACCCAATATAACCTTAATATTGCCCCCTATAAGCCCCATAATCCCAGTTTCCATCTCGCTTTTCATGTTCTTCCATTTGATTCTCGACTATAACCCCACATTACCCCAATATATATCCCAATATTAATCCCTAAACCCTGAACCCTTAACCCACCCTAAATGGTAGTTTCCCTAAATAGGGGGACCCCAATATAGACCCCAAT